AGACTAACTCAAATTCCTTTTAACCTATATGAAACAACACTGGTAAAACTTCAGTGTGATACACACTAACAGGGTTGGTAGCTGGACCAAAAAAAAAAAAAAAGGCATTATCTGGCTCTTAAATTACATAGCCAACTGTGAAAATCTGTATGCCTAAAAAGGAAGCTGTGTAGAAGGTAGCATAAAAAAACAGAACAGCATTGCCTGTATAGCATAATAAAGATTTCCAACTTGTACCATCTGAACCTTATTTTCACAATTCCTTGAACATGCTTTCACTGTTCTATTTTTCATTCCACAGGCTGTGTCAAGTATTAAACAGTTTAATCCACCTACTCTTTGGTATTGCACAGTTTTCATAGCTGAAGTGCTTAATTAGGCTTTGATTTGCAGTTTCTAATTAGTAGTAGAAGCAGCATCTAAGTAACAAGCTGTAGTACAGAGCTACCAGATTTAAGGAGACAAGAGGCATAATAATTTAAATTACTCATACATATTGTTGGATCCTAAAAATGTAACCACCTAGGAAAAAGACATGAACATATTCTAGGCAAATCACCAAAAAAATTAATATAATACAACCAAAGTCTTAAAAATGAAGCTTAAAAATTCTTGTTTAAAATTGCAGATTTGGGAGTCATACTGAAAATCCGTAGTACGAAAAACTGAGAAAACAAGCATAATGTCTTCAATTGTGTTGTTCTATATCATAAAAGATATAGCAGATGCAAAAGGAGTGATGGGATGAGAGAATAAATTATCACAATATATATTGAAAGTTTCTGGTATCAACTAAATAGAAGATCTTGAGACTTTTCGAGTGTGTGCACATAGTCAGCATAAAAATTTCTTCAGTTGCCATACCGGAGGATCAAAGAGTCCTGGATCTGGCCTGAGATCAGATCCAATGCTGAGGAACAGGGATAGGGATAATTTTGCCTTGTTCTAGTTTTCATTTGCTGGAGAGGGATCAAATTTTGATTTACCAAGTTTTTTACTCCTTGTAACATATTTTTCTTAGTACTACTTATTCCAAAAGTCTTGTTCAGTTCCTCCTTGAACTGCAAAATCCATTGACTCAAGGAGCCAACACTGCCAATGCAACAGACACTCCAAATTACTAAACTGTTTGACTATTGAGTTCACTATTATTTGAAGTTTTTCTAAAGTAAGCATAGCTATGTTTTAAACTGTCTTCAGGTTAAAGTGTTTCTCCCTCTACCACTTTTTGCACCTCTATGTGAAGTCTCCATAGTCATTCAATATCTTTTTTGAGGTTGAGTAAGAATTACAGTATCATTGTTGAGATGAGATTGTTGATTTATAGGTATAGCAGCACTATAATGTATTCCTTACTACTCCCCATCTTATTCTTTATCACCAGAAAATCTTGTTTTGGTTTTGTGGAACTGCTGCTCATTAAACAGACTCTTTATCCGGCTATAGTCCAAAACAGACTGGTGCATTTCCAGAGTTATTACAGGTAATTTGGAACCCCATATGGGTACTCAAAAGTTTATGCAACAGCTCTGGAGACATTTAAAGATATCTTTTCTCCTCTCTAGAGCTACAGGAAGTAAATACTGCTTTCAGATCTCCTACAGGCCATAAATACCAAGCCAAAAATGTCATCCAGAAAACAATGCAAAGCATAAAGAAAATATAAGAGACAGATTTACTGGAAAGGAAATGTTCTGACCTATCCACTGGGAGAAAAAACTATGTGAACTTTTCCTTTCATGGAATTTAGTTCATCCAGAGATTAAACCATATCGGGGAAAAAACCCGAACATCAGTTGTATTTTAAGGCAGCTGGAACTTGGTACACCGCAGGCATCAAAGCCTCATCTCAGTCTGTCTTAGCTATGGAGTTGGATTGCACAGTAGTGTTGTATCTAATATTCTGACATGATGCACGGCTCTGAGAGCCGAGGACTTTCTGGAGTTTTGAGTCTCTAGGTCAGAAGTGATGGAGAAAAACTAGAAGAGATCAAAAAGCTGCCAAAATTTCCAGTGTTCGAGAGTTTATGGAGCTGGAAGAGAAGGAGGCTGAGGGCAATCTGACCAAAGTGTAGGTGGGAAGTAGATGAGTGCTTCCAAAAACCTGAAAGCAAACTGTTCTTGTTGTTGCCAGACAGCATAACAAGGAACACTGGTTGCAAACTCTAAATTGGGAAGTTCAGATTGGACACAAGGGAAGATTTTCACTGGGAGGATAAAACTCTGGGAAATGGTTCCTGGACACCTTGTGAAACATCTGCACTTGGAGGCTTGGAAGACTCTACTAGACAAAGCTGATCTAGTGAAAGATATCCCTGCAAATAGCAGAGGGGTTGGGCTACGTATCTTTAAGGGTCCCTTGCGACCGAATCTGTTTTGTGGTTCCAAATATGTTTTTTTCTTCATTCAGGCTAAGTCCTAAATTTACTCTTTCCTGTCCTTACTCATTTAGAAAAAACTCTTTCTTACAGAGTCCAAATTAAAGACGATAATCTTTGTAATGCAACAAATGGGATTGAAATCCCTTCCCACTGTCCTCTACAGTACTGCACAATTCTTACAGATAGTCATAGCCCATACAAGTTAACATTACCCTAACTGGTTTAGACACCAGCAATGGCATGAATGTAGCAAGAGAAGAGCTCAGACACACTTTGCAGCTAGAGCTCATCTCTGGGCAAGTGTAACTATATTCTTACCAGTATCTAACACAACTAGGTTAAAGGAGTCAGGGCTTGCCTACAATAAGTTGGAAATAATTTCTTTCAGTAAGTTTGAAATAGATGCACTCACTGTTCAATGAGGTAAAACAACAGCAAAAAATAGTTCCCCCTTCAGGCATGAATACAGCTGCCTGGGGAGCACCATTCTCATAATATTCTCTGGCTAGAATTAACCGCATTGGGATTCTGATAAAAGTGACTCTATCATAGTCACCAAAGTTTTCCATTCCTCACCTCTCTTCATGCATTTAACATCAAATTAAGTTGATGTCTTTTATAACCAAACTGATCTCTGACATATTTGCAAACAGAAAGATTGGTCCATTTTCTCACTATTGTGAACCCATTTCTGGCATTTTTTTAACTTTATCTACTCTTAGTAGTTCCAGTGAGTAGATTAGGGAGTATCCCCCTATTAGAAAAATGAATAGTGTCCTGCCATAGTAGTATACCTGAAAGAAGTAATACTAACACACAGACAAATCAGAGGCAGACTATGCTAGTGATGAGCTGCAACTATAGACTTTGTGGTTACTCAGCAACTGAATTACTGAGAATTCTCTGCCCAGAATAATGACCCAATTCCATATAATATCATTATATGAGTGTTCAGCTTTCTCTTTGCTGTCTCAGGCAAGATGCTACAAAAAGAGAAATAAATAAAAGATTATGTAACCAGGTAACCACGTAATGCTGTATTGCCATTGCTAACAGGCCATATGCTTCATGCAGATTTACAAGGCTTCAAGTCTAAGGATTGTCAGGCTTGCTGTGTCTGAACTTTTCTTGACCTGCTTACAGCTTTGTTCAGCTGTGACAGCAAATTCTTGTATTGACCACGAGTGTATGGCTGAATTGTTTTGCTTTTGTTTATCTTTGGGTAGTGCAACTTTTTAACCTCTTATAAAGAAAGCAATAACAAGCAGTTATCCTATGGAAAACAGAGTATTTTCAACTCTAAGATGATACTCTAGTCTGGAGAAAAACAGGCCTGGTACAACAGCAGTTCTTGAGCAGTGAAGATGGGATGCAGTGAAGATCCCTTGACTGTAAACAATTTACCCACAGTCAGTTAAAGACGCATAAGTAAGCATGTATGCCAGGTATAGATGACAGAAATAAGATTTTTATATAAACCTGCTGATGTGTAGAGTTCAGGTTGGTAGAGACACTGAAAAAAATTATCCATATCCTATAATTAAACTAGGTGTACTATATCCAAATTGTGGTCAAATTAAAGTATGATATCTGTTCTTAGTTATATAACAGTGTTTTCTGGTAATATATTGGATATTAACCTAGCAGAAGGTACCCTTTAACACAGGGAGACAAGAATTTCTTTTTCTTAACATTTCTCTATGCCAAATATACCTCAGCTTTCAAGAGTCAACTATCTTTTAGGAGTCATCTATCATTTCAGTCATGATGCTTGAAGGCCAGGAATTTAGATCCAGAGATAATCCAATGTTATTTCAGAAAAAAAAGGGAATAAGGACGTAAAGTTTCTCAAGATGGATTTGATAGTACTGAGAAATAGAAAGTATACTTCCACTGATTGCTACTCAATTTCATACCATGAATCATTAAAAGACTACACACAGAGCTTTAGAAAAATGTCAGTTTGACATAATGCTCTTTCAATTATTGGTGAACATTTTTGCCTTTAAGTTGATAACTCCACTTTGCTCTCAAGCAAGCAAATGTAAAGCAAAGCTTTCTGTAACCTCTTGGTCTAATTTCCTCACAGCTCAAAAGCAGGCACTTAACCAAGCACTTGGTAGCCTAAAATGCTATTTGTGTACTCAGGAAAGCATCTCAGAAAACCTTTCTGAACTTACTTAGACACTCAAGACACCTTAGGAATCTAAAGTTTCAGGCTTTCGCAGTGCATCAGTAGGAGAAAATAATGGTCTTTCAATAGGGTAAGAGTAAGTTTGCTTGCCTGTCACTTGTAAGAGTCTACGTGTAGCCTCAGTGCTTGGTAAAACACTTTGGCAGCAAGGTTGGGATGGTATTACCAGCATTCTCCTGCAGCTCATGCTGATCCTCTTTAAGCCACCACAGTTGCTTCCTCTACTGCCTGCCTCCATTTTTCACTGATCAATTAAATCTTCTATTTATAACAGAATAAGGTATATAACTTGTAGAGGGTATTAGGATAAGCCAGTTTTGTAGCCAAATAACATTAATAATCACATAATCCTGAGTTAAAGCCATCATATTCTATTTATTCATAACCTGAAATTTGCACAGAGGTAGTGAATTCATCCTCAGCTGTTGACAGAACTGGCAACAAAGTCAATTAACCTTCTCCACATAAAAAAGAAGGCAGAATCTGTCGCTTAGCTTTCCAAGCTTCATTTCTAAAACTCTGCCTTCCCTCCACAAGGAGCAATTTGAGTAAGTGGTTTCTCTGCAGGCAGTCTTCAATGTTCTTGTCAGGAAGCAAAAGCAAAACAAACAAATGAAACAAACAATACAATGAGTAATAATGGCTAATAAACAGGGAAGTGCAGCAATCTAATCCTATTATAATTTTCTATTTTTATACACTTGGGACAAAATCCAGAAGGGATGTGAATCAGTTAAGATTGAAATTGGTCCTAATTCTTGCTGTCAAAATCTCTCTCAGTGACCAGAGAGGGGCTGAGAGGGGATCTCTCTAGCTGAATATTCACCTCCCAGTAATAGAAAGAGTGAAATTTTTATTTTTACATAGGTGATTCTTCTACATCCAAATTCCAAAACACTGTAAAAAAAAACTTCTCTACATGCACATACATATATATACACATATGTTCATACTGACTTATATATACACATGCACACACAGAGAGGCATTACAATGCATTTGTTTTAAAAGCTAGATTATTATTTTACTGTCCCCTACTGTGTGGAATACCTTACACACACAATTTACCAAGGAGAAAATATGTGATATTGAACTATTAGCAAAGCAGTAGTGGCGTTTTTTCAATCCACATGTTTTACTGAGAAAAGCAGCAGTATTAAGGTGCTCCCCACTCTTTGCCTTATCTGCACTTCAATCATTTGCCCATGGCGGAGTCAGTTGTTGTAATATAACCAGATTTAGGGTACTGAAGCTTTGTTCATAGAACTGTCTAGAACTATGTAACATTCCCAGTATTTTCCCTAACCAACAAGATGAGGAGTTTTATGTCTTCTGTTTCCATAATTGTGAGCAATAAATTTACTTCAGCATACGGATGGAGAAATACCACAGGGAGTAAGTGGTGTGTGTGACCGCCAGTTTTTGAGTGCATATGTCAGCATCTGGGGTCAGATTCTTCCCAATGCAGTTCTGCTTGTATGCCATTACTGCTTTGCTTTCCTCTTGTAATCTCATTCTTGTCACATACTGGACAATGTTTGGTATAGATGGGTCTTATTATTATTTTGATTATTTATTTTATAATGCTCTTTCCTACCTCCTCAAGAAAAACAAAACATTCAAGCAATAAGAACTTTATATCTCTTACCATTGTAACTCCAATCACTGTTGGCAATTTTTTGCTTGGTGAAGGTTTGGCAAGCATTAAGCAAGTTTGGTCCCACTAGTGAATAAAAAGTTCCACTTTTTCTTCCTGAATGAGTCTATCCTGGAAAAAAAAATACAGAGCTCATTCTAGGTACTGCTGAAAGAAGAATAAAGACTCCTTTTATACCTTTTGATTTCTGCTATTTTATAAATCTTTGCCATTTCACGGGGCTAGTAGGTGGGTTTGGTGCTCATCAACCACAATCCTTTCAAAACTGGACGACATTTAAACCTTCTGCCAAGACACAATGCCCTGTCCATAGATTACTTTTGACTTTGGAGGAAAATAGCCCATCATTAGATGATCTACCCTTTTGTAGATTCAGCTAGATTTAAAAATGGCAAGTTAGATGATGAATAATAGGGCAAACCATCAGGATTTCTTCCTGTACGAATGACAAATATGAGCGTCTCCTCTAGAAATCTCTCTGTATAAAAGTATTACTTTTACTTTACCTTACTTTACAGTGACAGTTCCCACACTATCATAATGTTCTCAGATTACCGTAATGGTACTGGGAACATTTTCACTGGTCAAAAAATTTTCATATGTTAATATCTCTGTAATGGCTTTTGACACAAAACGTATCTGTCAACAGAATACAGCCTGTTTTTAATGAAACTAGTTCTTCAAGAGGGAGGTGAAATCTGGGCCCAGATTCCTCATATTTTGGTCAGAGTTTTTAAGGGGTTGTGAGTTCTTTTTTATGGTAATTCTTCCCTGGTAACCAGTTATACGTCTATCCTTGTGTATATTTCAATAGTCAGAATCACTCTCATTTAATTATTAGTGAATTCTTGTGCCAAATTGACTCAGAAATGGAAGAATTCTTTTTAACTATCTCTTTAAATGCTTCCAACAATTAAGTATAATTTCTCTCCCTGACAGTGGTGTGGATGTTCTTTTACTCTCTCATGCTTACAATCAGGGAAAAGACATATTGATCACTATTAATGAGATCAGTCTGACAAGCAGATAAGTCTTACTGTTTAGTGATCTTTTGTAATCTCAGATTACAAATTGCCTGGCCAGGTCAGCTATTAAATAGCATGCATTAATTCAATGACTTCTAATTGCTTTTCTAAGTATCATTTAAAGCATTGAGTCATAATAATTTCACTAAATTCTTATTAGTTATACAACAGTCAGTCTTGCTTATTTAAAATTAACCTGATATGTGGAAGGTAAACAGAAGGGTCAAATTTCCCATAACTTTTCTGTTTAAAAGTTTGTTTCAAATTTCAGCCAGCAAAGAAGGCTGAACCCAAATTAATTACAGCTTTATTGAACTCAAGGAATCAAAGTTATCACTTCAATAACGGCTTCCTCTCATTAACACTATGACTTAATTGACTTTGTTTCAAATTTGTAATCTGATATAGGATTTTCCTGTTAGCTTCATTTCAGTCTTCCTATATATGGGTGCTTCTCATAAGCCTTTTGCATGTATAATTAGTAGTGAGGAACGTGGGGTTTTTATCTGAAGGGTAAGAGGTATAAATTGGACATTAAAGCAAATTTTTCAGACCAATGTAAAATCATATATAGATAGGACAATGGCTAATGACTTTAAATTGAAAGATAACAGATTTAGAGTAGATATGAGGAAGAAATGGGTGGTGAAACACTGGAACAGCTTGCCCAGAGAAGCTGTGGATGCCCCAACCCTGGAAGTATTTAAGGCCAGGTCAGATGGGGCTTTGAGCAACCTGGTCTAGTAAAGGGTGTCCTGACCATGGTAGGGGGTTGGAACTAGGAGGTCTTTAATGTCCTTTTCAACCCAAACTATTCTACAATTCCATGATACTTATCCATATTCAGGTCTTTACATAAAATTGACTTAAATTTTGATACTGTTTAACACCCATGACTCCTACTTACATTAGATTTTCAGAAATATCATGTGACTCTTATTAAGACACCATATGTCGTGTTTATTCAAGGCATGTACACAATAGTGATATAGAATCTGTTACACTTCAACCACCAAACATTAAAATAATACCACAATTTTTAGAGACTGTTATACTAATGAAAGGACTCCATTGACAGAAGATCAAAGAAAACCAAAGCTGCAGAAAACCATTCCTGCAGAACTTCACCCTCAAACCAAGTGCAAGGGAGGCTACTTTAGTTTCTAGCGCTCTATTATTTAGTTTCCCAAAATCAGGCCTTAGAAAATAAGGGCTGTCTGTGTCTCTGCTGATATTTCTTTTTTTCTACCTGTCTCTTTCCAAATAATAGTTTTGCTGTACATTTAAGACAGGGGTTTTTTCCCCACTTCAGCTTGGATCACCTATCTGGTGTTCAAGAAATACTAATTCCATTTCCAAAGAAACAAAACTTAAGAAAGAAAGTCCTACAGTGCCCTACAGGCCTCATATAAGGCCTTAATCATTTGAAGTACTTAAATCAAGTTCCTTCTAGAATGGAAAACAAAACCCTTCCTGTCCAGTACAGTTCATGAACTTAAAGGATCCTTCTGATTTTATGGTTGTAATTAAGAAATCTGTAATTGCAACACTCTTCTTTATTCCCCCCCAACCCACCCCCCACTGCCCAGCAGTGTCTCTGCTGCCTTTAATTGGTTGGTTTTTTGATAAAGACTGAATTACGTGTTCCTTTAAAGGAGCTGTCACTTCCACTCAAGCACTTATCAACACCCTTAAAGTTATTTCCAATTTGAATTATGAAAACTGGAATCATTTGGTGACAGGTATAAGCAAACATGGGGTGGGGTGTGTCCCTCCTAATTCACCTATAAATGTCACTGACTTTCTTTTTGTCTCTTACAATTTCAGCTTCCTGAGGTGATATGAGCTAATAAAAACAGCAACCATTACCTTTTCACCTTATATTTATTATTGTTAATAATAATATCTTATTCCTGCATATAAAACTGTCAATCAGAATGTACACTGAAATAACACTTTTCCACTAAAATAATACACATAAGTCCTGGTTTTGGCTGGGATATGTAATCAGAATCTTAAGAATACATTATTTAAATTTTCTTCAAATCATTGAGATGTTATTTTTGTTGTTATTTTTGTCAGTGAGGTAGAATTTCATAGTTGTTCTCCACTTGTTTTCAATCCAAACACAGCTTATTAGTATGTGGGAATGCTAAGCCTTTTGTCAGATTTTGACACTTTCATCATGTTACAAAGGGATACACCTGTTATGGACATTTATAAACATCCAGCTTGTAAAAGCAGTTTTTTTGTCAAAAAAGCTCAATTCTGAATAAACCTGCCTTAACATTTAAAAAATTCAAAGGCAGAGGATATAGAGAGATCACCTTCTTATATGGATTTTATCTTTAATTCTGTGGGAGAAGCAGCCTGCTGTTTTAATTAATACCATTAAATGACTGCTATACTAGCAGATATTGATTTCAGCAGGGGCTACTTGTCTCCTAGGCTGACATTTAATATCTGTTAAAGGGATTCGCCTGCTGAGTCACTTCAGCAAAAGGATTACATTAGGACTACGGCCAAACTTGTCGGTACTAGTAATTCTCATTGAAAACATCTCTCAATCAGCATTGAGAAAAGCTAAAAGCAAGGCAAAGTTTGACTTGGCAAGATTGTATGAATGGCAGTAGAATACAGAATAGCTCCCTATTAACTGTTTGCCTCAACAGTTAATTCTGGTAGTTTCCTACACTGCACAAGAGTAACGCATGGAAAGCATCCTGCCCCGATAGAAAATACATTCTGAACTCCCATGTCACTTCTTATGATTGTGTCAGTGTAGCTGCATAAATTCTCCTGTTCAGATTAGGAGTAAGAGCCACCTTGTCCTTTAAGAAGAAAAGAACGTGGATTTACAACACAGTGCAACACATGCCCTTGCTTTCCTCTGATTAAACCAATTGAGCAACTCTAGTTTACACCAGTTTGTTCATCCTTCTATTTAATTTGAAGTGAGAATCCAATCTTAACTTGAATTTTTTTCCTGAATTTGGTAGTTTTCCTTCAGCCTTATTTTAAATGTCTCCTCCCTAACAACTAAGACAATGCATCGTATATACACATCTAAATCTAAAACTGAAAGTTTTGTAAGAGTTCAAACAGAACCTATCTAATTTTTGTGACATTCTTAATTTCTTTTCTGCTTCTTGATGCAGCCAAAACCATGCAACTCCTGTAATGTAGAAGCTGGCAGCAACTTTTCAACTAAGGTATTCCTGTACCTAGAACTGGATTCCTCCACATTCAGAGTCCGATTCCAAGAATTTCTTACCCTCTGCCACAAAACAGAGACTATCACAGTAAATATCCCTGTTTTCACCTTAGAAAAAAAGACAGTAAAAGAGAAAAATTTATTACACCCTGATCATCAAACATTTGTGTTCACATTCACTGAATATGAATGTTTGGACCAGCTTTGACAGGAATGTTAAATCCAGAGTATCATGAGATAGCCTGGTACCTTACAATAAAAAGATAAAAGAGTTATCTGAATGATGAGAGACCATGTTGAATACCACTTTTCCTGGTTTGGTAGAAGAGGAAGGATGCAGGGCTTCCAAATTTGAGGGAATTAACCACAACTGTTATGTTTTGGGAGAGAAAGACATCATAACTCAACTGATTCTTTCAATTTGTTTTGCAAGAAAGATTCAATTACTAACTAGGGCCATGAATTTTAGCAATTACTATAATAGAATTTGCTTATTTTGAGGGTTTATTTTGTTTGCTCTACATTAGTTCTGTGGTGGTAGTGGATCAAGGGTTGGACTTGATGATCTCAGAGGTCCTTTCCAACCCGTCTGATTCTACAATTCTATGATTCTATGCTCTTAATAGATAGGTTTCCTAGAAAACTGAAATTGTCTGTGATTTTCAGAATCAAATTTAAAATAAAATATTTAAATAAAAAGTAAATGGTTGTAAGACTTCTTCCTTCCCATTATGGTTCCGATGGTATCTCCTATGAGAATTCTCTCTTATCACTGAACTCCTTGCCCGAAACCTGGATAAAAATCCTCTTCACGTTACTATATATTGTAATAATTTCCTGCCATCCTGTTCCAGATTAACAAGCAAATAGGA